ATCATCTTCTTGGGCGGCCTTGGGTCGTCTCAATCCTTGTCATCTCCTCCCTGGGCTCGGTTTGAAGCTCAGAAGAGCTTTGACCCTCACTCATGGTCTGCAGGAGCTCACCAGGGACATCTCAGCCCCATCTCAGGTGTGTCTTCACCCCCAGGGAGGTCTTGCAGGACCTTACTCGGGATTTTGTCAGCAGAGCTGCGGGAGGAAAGGCTTTTCCAAGCCTTTTTCCCCTATTTCTGCCTCTTGGTCTCTTGACTGTGCTCTGGAAGGTGTATTTCTTTCTTTGGGATGGATCATGGAGTGGGTGTTTCCCTCTCAGCCCCTCTGGGAAGGTGACCACCCCTCACCCAGCTCCACTCCCAGCTTCTGGAACTCCTGGCAGGAGCAAGGACTCTGTGCTCCCATGGAAGAGCACCTGGGCTTGGTTTCTTTCTTTCTAGGTCTGGCTTTGTCTCTAGGAGAGCCCCAGCTCTGGGTTAGTTAAACCTGTGGGACCCTTCCCTTTGGTCCCCTCTCTGTGCTCCAGGGAATGCACTGGACCAGGAAAATGGGGATTTTCTCCTACTGTCTCTTTTCCATTGGTGCCAGAGGTGGATGGGACACTATCCCTGCTGCCTGGGAAAGCTGCTTCCCTCCCCTTCAGCTCTGGGAAGACTCATCCCCACACCACAGATCTGGGATTTGGTGTGTGGTTTAAACTTAAACAGGGGGTTGGAACTAGATGATCTTTGAGGACCCTTCCAACCCAGCCCATTCCATGATTCTGGAATCCCAGCTCACCAAACCCCCTGATCCTCTTAAAGGGCTGCTCTGACCTACTGGGATTGCAGGATTTTCCTTCTCCACGGCTCCAAAGGCACCAGTGGGTACATGTCCTGTTATCCCTCCTCTTGGCCAGCTGATCCCACCTTTCCAATCCCTTCTCCCTGGTCACAGCTGCCATTCCATCGATGGGATACCTTCCTTTTCCCTCCTGTGTTCCATTCCCTCCTCGAAGAGCGGTGACAACACAGGTTGATTTTTACCCTCCTCAAACCCAGGAATAAACGGGAAGAGGACACTTGGAGCAGCACTTCCAAACTGACAAATCTTTTGGTATTCCCAGAAACTGGGCTAAGAGGCCTCAATGGTTGTGTTTTCCTGCTGCTGGAGCCGTTTGGGGACACCAGGAGGTTTTGCAGAGGGAATGCTGAGACACACGTGGGGTGTCCTGCTTGTCCTTGCTCTCCCTGGGCCACCAAAGCCCCTTTATCCCAATATCCTTAAAGGGTTTGGGATCAGAAGCCTGCCATGCCAGGGGGAGGGTTTGTAGGGGAGATGCTCGGACGTGGAGGTTTTTAATCGTGGGGAAATGCGGCGCTTGGGCTCATTTTTATTCGGAATTTGACTGGAAGTAAGAAATCCTGGAGTTCCCCTGACCTTTTGGTTCTTTTTAAACGTTAAAAAATCAGGGATCTGGGCGACCCTGAGAGGGGCACGTTCATCCTAACGTGGCCCAGGGATGCTGGAATGATCTTTGCTATTTTTTCCAGCACGTTTTTTTCTTCCTGAGAACCGTTCAGATGTTTGTGCCTTTTGCCTTTTGTTCCTTTCCTTCAGCCTGGATGCTCCAGAGTTACCAGACTCCCTTTGGAGACAGGTTGGAGCGTTCCTGAGGGTTTTGCTGGGAGGATTTGCTGCCTTCAGCTCCCCCAGGACACCCCTCTGTGCCCCATGTGCTGTGCTGTGCTTTGCAGGGCAACCCAAAAATTCCTCATTTTGGGTGCTTGGCACCCGAAACTTGGCTTTTCCCTCTTCTTGGGCCTGGATTCCTCCATGAGGGAGCGTGGCAGGAGACCATGGAGCAGTCCCTGTGCTCTGTTTTTAGGATGGGGAGAAAAGGAACCAATTCTTTGCTGTGTGTTGTAAGGTCGGAGTGTCGGGGCAGCAGCAGGATTTTATGGAAGTCCTCCCTCCCTGTGGTGCCTTCCCAATTTTTTTTGCTGTGTTTTCCCTTTGTTCCTGCCCCCAGTACCTGCACAGCTTCTTGCCCACAAACCCTCTCATCCCTCTCCAAAAGTACCAGGGTTTCCAAGCCCTCTGGAGCACGGGCCGGGGAGAGGCAGAAATCCAGGATAACGTGGCAACAGGACAAGGCTGGGACGAACCCCCTGGAAATGTTGGAAGGATTAGTGTGTGTCCAGGTTGAGGTGTTGCTTTGGATGCCTCCTGGCACATCCAAACCTCCAGCAGGGGCCAAATTCCTTCCTGAAAACATTTCCTCGCTCGTTGCGCCTTCGTCGGGTCAGGCCAGCGCGGGCTGGATGGGATGCAGGTGGCTGATGCCAAAGTTTTCCTCCTGGAAAGGAGGAATGTGATGCTCCCTTCCCTCTTTGCTGTGCTGATGGGCCGGGTGGGAGCGAAGGGGCCTGAAAATCGTGGATGGCAAAAGGCAGGGAGCGATTCTGGTGCTCGGAGTGGGAAGGCTGGGCTGGCACCAGGGAGGGTAACCCCACGTAAAACATCATCCCTCTCCATCCCAACCATGAAACAAAGCCTTTTCCACGCGTGGAAAACCTGTGTGGAAGCTCAGTGAATTCCCTTGAATTCCCTCTCCTCCTTGCTGTGGTTTAAGGATGGGGCTGGGGGGTTCTCCAGCTGGGACCGGGGGGCAGTTTGCTGTCACCTAGAGCTGGAGCTGAGACACTGAGAAGGAATTTTCTGCCTTAGGAAAACCATAAATCTCGAAGTATCCTTTTTCCACTGCGAGGCAGACTCGGAAGGTTCCAGCCAGGCTCGCTGGGTGGTGGTGTCTCCCTCAGAGCAGGGTGTGCAGCACGAATAAATACCCTTGGACAGACCAAATCCCCAGATTTGGCTCTTTTGGGAGGTATCACAGCGTGGAAAAAAAAACGGGGGCTCCTTCCAGCATCCCCAAAAAGTCCTGGCTACCGCCCTGGCACTGCTGCGAGTCCCCGTGGCCGAGGGCCCATCTCGGCGTTAACAAAGCTGAGCATCCCCTCAGAGACGATTTTGCCTCTTGGCAGCGCTGGAACGACTCTTTATTTTTTTTACCTCGGTTCTCCTTGGCTCTGCCCGGTTTCTCTCCCGCGAGCAGCCGAGGAGGAGCTCGGCTCGGCCTCACTAGAGGGCGCAGGAATTGTAGGCTTGGGAAAACGCGCGCGCGGCGGCGGGGAGGAGGTTCGTCGGGGAAAGAAAAAAAAGTTGGCCGCCTCTTCCTCCTTTTTAATCAACTGGAAAGATGCAGGGTTGAACTGGAGGTGACTGGAAGGGGATCCAGACTTGTGTCTGGCCGGGGAAGGATCTGCTGACATGTGGGATTAGGCGGCGTGGAGCGCGGCGGCGGCGAGCGGACGGGACGTCGAGCGTGGCCGGGAGCTTCGGGCTCGGGCAGACGTGGGGTGCAGCCAGCTGGAGGAGCCTCGTGGCAGAAGGAGAGCTGGGAAAAGAGCGAGAAAAGGGGGGAAAAAAAATCCACCTCGGCCTCCCAGCGTTGAACGCTCCCCCTTTTTCGGGCTGGGCAGGTGTTGTGTTGGCCTCGGTCGGGGCCCGGTCTTCTCTTCCTGAGGGTCCTCCAGGCTGTGTCCTCGCTGCACATCCATCCCTGGGGCAGACTCTCTCCTCTTCTGAGGGTCTGGAGGGTGTGAATCCATCCCTGGGATTGTTCTCTATGCCACAGCAGCAGTTTGGCAGCCTGGGACCAGGGACTTGTCCTTTTTTTCGGGGTGCAGGGGTTCCCCAGACACTGTGGCAGTGCCAGGAAGGACGAGGTCAGGAACCCCAAGGGCCACCTCCAGCAGGATGGTGGCTCCACTGCAGCCTTGGCACTGCCAAAGCAGAGGCTGCCCCCTCATCAGCTGGGGCAACGGAGTCCTGGGAAGCATTTGGGGAGCGTGGGGCGATTCACTGGGAGCCTCTGTCCTTGTCCCAACTCCTCAGCAGGGATACAGGGCAATGCCAGCCAGATGGAACAATACCCCCGTCCTTTCACCAGCCCCTCTGAGCAGCTCTGTCCCAGCTCTCCCGGTGCACCAAAGCCCGGCGTCCCGCTCGAGTCCTCCAGGATCCATCCCTTTCCCGGCTCCCTCCACACCTTCCCCCCTCCTCCAACAGCGGAGCGGGCTCAGCTTTAGCACCTCCGGCTTTCCTTTGCCGAGCGGCTGCTTTTCCAGCGCCTCAGCCCGAGCAGCGCTTGCCCTTTCCAGGCTTTAAAAATAGCTGGAGGAGCGCGGGGAGGCGGCGGCGGCCGCCCCGTCTCGCGGCCCCGCCGTGCTCTCGCCGCCCCGCTGTTCATTCACTCGGTTCATTCATCCCCGCTCCGTTTCATTCATGCCTTGGCTCGCCGTGGCCATCCGGGCACGGCATCTGTCTGCGGCCTCTCGGGCTCCGGGAGTTGTTTTTTTTTTTTCCTCCCCCACCGCCCCCGTTGTTGGCCGGGGTTTTTCCGCGGGGAGCTTTTCCTCGGGGCTCAGCCCGAGCCCCGGAGCGCCGTGAAGCGGCTCTTGTGGAGCCTCCGGCGCGGGGCTGCGAGGGGGGACGGGGCTGTTATTTCACCAAACAAACTCCCGGCGAACCGCCCGTGCATTAGCAATGAGGGGTCGCAGCCAGGAAAATATTACCTTTCCCTTTGAGTGCTGACTGTGGAGGAAATTCTCACATTTACAGCTCCGGCGAGTCCGACGCTCATGGAAAAGAGGGGGCGGCTTTGATTTCGCTCCCCTCGTCGGGTTGATAACTTTGCAGCCCCCCCACCTCGCCTTCAGCTCCCCCCCCCTCCCTGCTCTCCGGGGGACCCGGCCACCCCGCTGGAGGCTCCCTCCTGGAATCCTGCTTTAATTTGATTTTCCCGGAGGCCTGGCGTGCGGCGCTGCGTGTGCGTCCTGCCCCGTGTGTGTCAGTGTGTGTGTGTCTGTGTGTGTGTGTGAGTGTGTAGGTTAACAAAAAATAAACAAACAGCACTTCTCTTCCCTCCGGTGCTCTCCGGGAGGGATGCGGCGGGAATGCCGATGAAAGCGCGTGCTGTGGGAAGGGACATTCCTGGCATTGCTGAGCTCCTCGTGCAACGCGTGGGCCCGGGCCCAAATTGGAGGAATTGGAGGAAGGAGCCGTGAGCGTCGGGGACCTGGGGAGGCCCGCTGCTGCTCAGTGTTTACTCGCGGAGCTTAAATTAATGCTGTCTGCTGACATCAGGGGTTCTTTTTTTTTTTTTTTTTCCCCGGATTCCCAAGGAAACCGAGGCCGGGTGCGAGCGCAGCCTCTGCCTACGTGCGTGTCCCTGAGCCCCGGGCTGAGTTCAGCCAGATTCCACAGGGATCCCAAAAGCTGCGGGATAATTAGTTTACTTAATTTTGCATCCGTTAAGAAGGCGGTCGATGGGCGGGGGGAATCGATGTGGGGAGAAAAGCCTGTGTTTGTCCGTGTGGCTGCACAGCCACGTCAGACAGGAGAATCCCCAGGGGAGAGGTGTTTTGGTAGCACCCGAATCATGGGATGGATATCACTGGGATCTGGGAGACGGGGAGCTGTGGGAAAAACCAGCTCTATCCATCCACTTTTCCCTCCCACCTCTGGTTTGCTCCGTTGTTGCCCAACATTTGTGGTGGTTCTGGTGAGGATCTCTGGAGGATCTGGCAGCTGATGTTTCTCCATCGACTCTATTTTTTGACAGACTTTTTTTTGGGGAATTGATGATCCTGGGTGATGAGTTCTGGCTGATGACAAGCACAGGACGTTTTTTGTGGTGCCCTGGGTCGCTGTAAAAAAAAAAACCCTCTCCTCGCTCCCTTTTCCGCAGGTTTTCTCCAAAATCTTCAGCCACGAGGCGCTGGAGAGTTACCTCCCCAAGATCCAGCTGGTGATCAAGGACACCCTCCGTGCCTGGAGCAGCAACCCCGAGCCCATCAACGTGTACCACGAGGCGCAGAAGCTGACGTTCCGCATGGCCATCCGCGTCCTGCTGGGCTTCCGCATCCCCGACGAGGAGCTCGGCCGCCTCTTCGAGGTCTACCAGCAGTTTGTGGAGAACGTCTTCTCCCTGCCCGTGGACCTGCCCTTCAGCGGCTACAGGAGGGTGAGAGATCAGGGATGGGTCCCCCACCAATCTGGGGTTATGGGGGTGGTGGTTGATCCGCCCCTCTCCGGGTTCTCCTCGCCCTCCGACCTCTAGGGATGGGTCCGTTTTGGGTTTGGTGGAGAAGCGAGAAAAAGATCCGTCCGTTGAGTGGTTTGTTGCAGAATACAATCAGGACTCGCCCAAATTGAATTATTTTTATTCAGTTTTTGTTTTATTCAAGTGTATTCTTATCTCGCTCGGCAATTTTCCCGCATTTTTGTAGTTTGTGGGACCCTTCTCCTTTTAATTCCCTCCCTGTACTTGCAGCGAAACAGCTCAGCAGACCTTCTAATTCCGAGAACCATTCTAGTTTTTCGATGGATGATGCAGAATGAAAACATACCAAAAATCACAGACCAAAAAAAAAAAACAAAACAAAAAACCAAAACCTTCTTAATTTTTTTTTCACGGGGAATTTTGGCAACAGAAATTCCAGGGAGGTTCAAATTTATTTTTGTGATATCGCTGCAATTTTATTTTTTTTTCACTGATATTTGACCATGTGGATGAGCCCAAGCACTTGCGAGCCCTGAAGCACTTGCAGGAGCAGGTTAACCCAGTGCAGCTGCACTCCCATAGGAATTGCTTTACTGGGACCAGGTGATAAAACTGCTTGGGAAGACCATTATGCTCCTGGGGAAGAGGATCCTTTGGGATGAATTGGCTTTCCTTTGAGAGGCAATTTTCCCAGGGGCTGCCACGCATCCCAGGGCGAGCCAGGGGCCTGTGAACTGGTGCAGCACTGGGGCTCCCACAGCAGACCTGTCATTTACACCTAGGTGCTGATTACTCCTGCCTGTAATCTCAGCTCCTCGAGCTTTACTCCTCCTGCCCAGGGAACCACCTCAGCGTCTTTATGCTCCTCTTTGAGCGTCTGCAATCGCACTTTTATTACTCAGCCACGTTGTCCTGGCGATGGTGCTGGTGGTGCTGGTGTGGGCTGATGGTTTCCTGCTCCACAGGGAATCCGGGCACGGGAGACGCTGCAGAAGGGGCTGGAAAAAGCCATCCAGGAGAAACTGCAGAACACGCAGGGCAAGGACTACGCCGATGCCTTGGACATCCTGATAGAGAGCGGGAAAGAACACGGGAAGGAGTTGACCATGCAGGAGCTGAAGGTAAAGATCTCCCCGTGGACACCTTGCTGTGCTCGGGGGCTCCCCCGAGAGCAAGGCTGAGCTGCTCCAGGGAGGAATTTTTGGGGCAGAGCTGGGATGGTCAGGG